TTGAGAGTACCTAAAAGAAAGTTATTTTTCTTTTCAAGTAAATAAAAGTAGAAAGTAAAAAAAAGATAAACTGGGATCAATCATAGACTAAGTAAGAAATATTGCAAATGCTGTTAACAAGCAAGACAAACAAACTTTGGCAGAGACTCAGTGAATTGAGAGTATATTCATTCTATTTTAGCATACAAAGCTCAAAGTATAAAATATTGTGTTGGTTTAATGCTTTAGGTTTAAGATAAAACTAGTAAAATCAATGCAAAAACTTTTTACTTTCAAGAAAAATAAGCAAAGTTTAATTGGTAATTTTTAAAAAATTTTCTGTTTTAAACCTTTTTAATCAAACTTGATGAAACTGTCATGTCACTTATTCTTTGTTTATTTAACTGTCATTTCATTTATTCTTTGTTTATTTAATTAAATAATTTTTCCTTAATAAACTTTAAACTAGTTTATATTGATAATGTAAATATAATGATTGAATGAATGATTGAATGAATGATTATTCTTTTAAAGTGGAAAAGTTAGTCAAAATTATTACTTTGTTTAAACTACACTGCGCAACTGTATAAATATAAATGTAATTTTTATATTATTCTTTGATGTTTATACATAAATAAAACTTATTTAATTTTTAATTTTTAATAAAACTTCAAAGACTTTAAATAAACAAAAAAAATATATCGAGAAAAAGACATTAAAATAAAGCAAACGAAAATCACCAAACATATTAGCGACAAACCAAGAAGACCTCGAAGAAACCAATGTAGATAAAACATCAAGTTAGAGGCATCGAAGAAGCAAAGAAGGCAAGGATAAAACAACAAACAACAAACTTTCATAGAAAATGAACCAAAGAACTACGATATAGTTTTGAGAAAAATTTTATACATATTATACTTACCTATTTTACTGATTGAGCAGAAATACACAGCTTTAAGACACAGGTTTAAGACACTGGTTTAAGACACAGGTTTAAGACACAGGGTTAAGATTTACTGAATTATAAAGTATCTTTTGTTGTGCATACCAGTTAATAAACATGAGAAGATATAATATATTTGCTATGCTAGATCGAGTAATTGTAGACATTTTTTTTACACGCACTTAATCACATTTACCAAAACATTTTGACTTTTTGTTCAATACTAAACTATGCTAATTCTATGATTATTTTTTTGGCTAAAACAACATCACATTGCATTTGTTTTTGCATACTATTATTGTAACACCTCTTCTTATATCTGTTTATATACTATGTCATGTTATATACTATTACTCATGACATTGAGGAAGCTACAAAATACCTGTCATTGAATATTTTATAATGTTCTGTAGCAAAAACTATTGTTAAGTATTGTCCATTTAAAAACCTTAAAAAAGGAAGAACTTTTAGTGTTAACAGTTATTTTGTCTTACGTCCGGTTAAAATTTATTAGGTTAAATAGGAGTTTTGTCTCTAAGAGAATTAGTACTCCAATACCGTAACTATTGAAAATTTGCAACTAAGGAAACTAAACGTTGAAGACTCGGTATGAAAAGAATTCTTTTTAAATCGAGAAATCTTTTCAAGAGTTTTTATCTATTTTTGGAAACATTCAATTAACGCGCTTTTAATATAAAATAAAACAATACAATTTTTAAATTTTGTAAATAATTTGAATTTTTATAGATTTATACAATTTTATAGAAAAACATCTCTTCGTTTATGAAAACGTACCATTAACTAAAATTGAGATATAAGTCAATAGGAATTCAGAATTAAAACACAGAAAAAAAAAAGTAACAAAGTAGTTGAAGGATTATTCAAGCTAATTAAGTTTGTTAAAAACATAATTTAAAACTCGTTTCAATAGTTCAACGTTCTTAAAATAAGATTTAAGTTTGATCAAGGTAAGGTGAAAGTATGTTTTTATCAAATTTAATTCAAAAATTACAAAACAACAAAACAGAAGGCCCCAATTTTAAAATATATAAACGGCTATAGTTTTAAGGTATTGCAAAGCTTTTAGAATTGTTTTACCACATAAGTTTATTTTTCGAAAGTCTTTTAGAATTTTTCTCTCACATAAATTCATTTTTGAAAGTCTAAGTTTAATAAGTGTTTGGGTTCAAAAATCAAAAATTGAAAAGTACTTGGGTTTGGGGTCACTTTTTCGGATGCTTTTTATTTTATTAGCCAAACAGGTTAAATGGAAAGACAAAATTACAAAAAATTCGTTCCTTTTTTATTTCATGCAAGCAAACATTTATTTCATAGTCAGTCATGCATCCTGCATATGTTTTGATGTTATCTTATTCAAGCTATACACTTTTTTTGACTGCAGGCCAACTTGTGCTATGTATACCGCTTATGTTTCACCGCCACTAGACTTTACAGTTTTTAAAACAGTAAATTTTTTAGCAATATCTTATCATAACTCATCAAATTGAGGATTTTAATAAATAACATATATGAAGAGAACTGCACTGTTAGATACCTAGATCTGGATAAAGTTATTATTCCTACTGAGACAATTGGTGGAAAAAGATCCATGATAGTTTAAATGGATGTTTTTAGAATGCCAAGATATATTAACTCAAAAAAGTTCAAAAATACTGGTGTTAATAAAGATCTTGAACTGGCTTTATTTTAAAATGTTACTGAAAATCATACAAATCTTTACATCATTATAAAGAAAGCTCAAAAAATATAAAGTTCTTAGGTCTTCCCGAAAAAAAAACCCGGCAAATATTACTAGGAATTTGTCTGACTTACTATAATCCTGTTATGTACGAGCTATTCCTACTAATCCTGTTAGGTTTTTGTTTAATACGGCTAAACTTATTAAGTTTTGATTGATGATATTATCTTCTAAGTAATCCTAGTAAATACTAACAAAGTACTTATTAGAATTAAACAAAATTTTTAGAAAGCAACTAGTTGCTTTGAAAACTAATAAGTTTTCAAAGCAATTACAAAAAAATTGATTTGTTGTCAGAAGACAAGTCAACAAAATCTAAAACAGCATTTTTACAATATTTTTACTAATTAATGTTTCTAATTCTATTGTGGGAAGCTCTTTTCACTTGATGACAATTGCATGGTCAACAAATTAAATGATGATTGTTTGTTAATACAGCTTTTAATATTATACAGCTTTTAATATTAATTTTAAAAGTTATAACTCAATATAAGTTTTAGCATTTTTTAGTCCGGCTTTAAAAGAGTGAACCTTTCAACGTATACTAATAAAGGCTGAAAGACTGACTCTTTTACAGAATATATAGAAATATATTTTACTGGTGAATATATTATTATTTTCTTTATTACCTGTTCTTAGATGTATGTATGTGTTACGTTTGTGTTTCATGTTTAGTTTAATTTCAGAGTATGTACAGTCAATCAGCATCAGTGCTTCCAATAACAATTTTTAATTTGTCACTTTTTTCTTCTTTGTAAAATAAGCCCGTAAGAAACATAGAGTGTTCAAAGTATCATCCACAAGAGATGATCGTAATTTTGTGACAATGATAACAATATTTAACACTTGTTGGCTTTACAGTTTTCAAGTATTCGTACCATAACATGGGGTTACTTTGGTCAGCGAGGTTACTTTGACCATTTTTTAAAACTATAATTAAACATCTGTAACTTTTAAACAGTAAAGTAACGTTCTACTATTTAAAAACGTTACTTTACTGTTTAAAAGTTACAGATGTTTAATTAAAGTTTTTAAAAATGGCTAAAGTAACCCCGCTAGCCAAAGTAACCCCGTGTTACGGTATTAATTTTGCAAAGATATGTCACGATTTTCTTTTTCTTTGAAAATTGCTTTTTCATTGCATATAATATTTGTTAAATTATTCGAAACATTCAATCTTTTTTTGAAACAATCAATCTTTTTTCGAAACAATTAATCTTTTATTTTTCAATATTGCAAAGTCAAGCTTTTCTTTCAATGACAAGTTTAAAGTGTTGTCAGCAGAATCGCTTCAGAAGAAACGCTGGCGGAAAAAACAGGATGACACGTTTTCTGATTGAGTCGATCGTTTAGTCAAATAATGTTTTTACAATGTGTTTATACAAATTATTTACAATGGCTGATTTACTAATGCTCAAAAGATAGCGCTGTATCCAAAATCTCGTAACGTTGATGGCCTTTGTACAGATATTGGAGTAAACTAGAAAAAGATACACGTTGCTTATTGAGTTGTCGCACCAGCATAGCTTTCAACTTAACAACTAAATCGGTTTCTCGAAAAATATCTACCACAAACATTAGTGTTGTATCGGCTGACAACAGTTTTGCATCAATTCGAAGCATTACATCAACAGCCAGTTTTACTGGCGCAAGACATGAACCAACAGCAACAGCTAAAAATGATTCAAACTCCTTAATAATTTCCTCAATTCTGGACTCAAAATCGATCAAGACTTGCAATGCAGTATTTCAACTTTACAAAACGTTCAAGCATTTAGCATAATAAAAAAGTTTATAGTTAATTAACGCTATATAATATTCGAATAGGATTTTAATTTCAACACGCGCTTGGCTAAAACAGTAAACATTCCTTTGATCTGCTGCAACAACTTCCATTTTTTTATAAAAAAATCATTCATTTTTCATTTACATTTCATGTAAATGAAAACATTTGTCTCCGCTATATCACAATCTATCTGTATTCATTCTTAATACCGGTATTGAGCTAAACCAATAACGGTTTTTCGGTACTTAAAAAGTCCGGTAAAACCGGTATGCCGGTATCGGTACTACCGGTATTGGAAGCACTAATCAGCATCTGTTGACTATTTTATTTTCTGTTTCATTTATATGCATTTATATATATATATATATATATATATATATATATATATATATATATATATATATATATATATATATATATATATATATATATATATATATATATATATATATATGTTAACAATCACATATATAGAATACTTAGCCTTTAATTATGATATACATAGACATTTTATGAATTCTTTTGTTTTTTAGGAAATTCAATAAATACTAATCAAAAATTGTTACAAATGCATAAAAATGTTGAGAAGTATGTTGAATGCTTTGATGGTTCAAGGTTTTATCTTGCTTTTTTTCAAAAAGGAAACCAATAAAAAGTTCTTCTTATTGGGTTTCCAACAACATTAAAGTATTGTCAAATAATGACAAGTAATTGACAACAAAATTTTAATGGCAAGTAATTGACAACAAAATGTTTATAATGGTACACTTTAAATTAAAATGTATTTTATTAAGTTATTGAATTACAATATAATTTTTATATATACCCTTATAGATAGAGTTTTAATTGAATAAAAGATGCCAAACAAAATAATTTGGTCGGAATTTTCTTTTGGTCTCTATTGAATTACAGATAAAAGCAGCTACATAGTTTAGGTATATTTGACACACCTCTATTTATTATATACATGTATATTTTTTTTTGGAAATGCGATGAAAACTCAATAGAAATCATTTCAATAGAAATCAGATTTTGTTATTATTTATATTTTAGAAATATATTTTTCATATTTTTAAGTACTTTCATTATAACTTATATTTTCAATTTTTAAATTTTTTAATGAAAAACTACAACTATTATAGCTATAGAAAGATGATAATGAAAACCTTTTCACCATTCCAAACGTATGACAAGTTAAATATCCTTTTTCATGGTAAGTTGAATAAGTTTTTTTTTTTTTAATTATAAAGGTGATTAAGTTGTTGAATTACATTATTATTTTTTTTAAATTCATTATAGTTACAATTATGGTCGATGAGAGGAATAGAATAAAATGGGTGGAATTTTTCCATTAACACCTTCAAAATTATTGATTTAAAAAAAATATATAAAAGATTATATACAACTATAAACTTATAAAAAAGTATATGCATACGCACCATATATACGCCAACCAATAGTACCGTTAGATGTATCTATATTCGCATATCAATAAGTGTATATATAGATTAACAGATAGACGTTTAAAACATATGTTTGTTATTTTGCGTTTCCTTTTACCACCTTTGCCATCCTTTCTGCCTCTAGAAGTCTAAAATTTAAATTCAGGCAAGTTTTTGCCTCCATTACGGGCCCCTAAACAAAAGATCTAACTTGATTGATGTACAGTGTGGTTTTGGCACCAAACCATAAAGTTACTGCTTGTATAAAAAACATACCTAAATAAAATAATCAAAAAATAAAAATGAGCAATTAAATGAGACAAAAAATTTATGTGTAGATCTTTACTAATATTTTTGTCAAGAGAAGAGGAAAAAATGGTGTCAAAGAAATGGTAAATCTAAAAGTTATTAAATTTAGTAAAATTTGCTTTTTATTTGCGTTAGCATTTTTTCTTTTTCATTTATTTTCAATGCCTTTATTTTTAGCTTTCAAATTCTGAATACGCTCACTGTATTATTTTATTTTAATTTTTTTTTCAGTCATCTAATATTTGTCCTTAAAGCTTTGATAATTTCTTATTTTCGTTTAACAATATTTTAACTAATGCTGTCATGCTTCGATGCTTTCTTGATAAGCTAGCTAACTGAGAAAACAAACAAGACAACCGATATTTTAGATTTTGCTAAAATGTTAAATGAAAGTTATCAACGGGTACCCTGAACGTTACCTAAAACTTTATATTTTATCACATGAAATATTTTTTTTGATTTCGAAAGCAGTCCATTTCCAAATTTTACAACTATGAAAATTTTAATCATTTTTTGATAGCATTTTAAAAAAAATGGACTGAAGACTTGCTTTAACTAACAATTGGCTTCCTCTTACCAACCTTCAGACTCTAACATGGTAATCAAATAGAATACAGTGGTTTACATACAATACAAGAATAAATAAATGGTAAAAATAAAGATCACAAAAAATATCAGAAGTATATTGTTAAATCATCAATTGTAAAAATGAGTTCTTTAAGCTTTTGTTTAAAAGAAAAGTAGTTACTTTGATTAATAAAATCCTCATTAAAATTTTTTAAAACTACTTTATTCCATAAGAATGGTCCGCGATAATCAATACAAAATTTAAAAAGATTTCTTTGAAAAATGGGCTGCTCAATAAAATTATTATTGCGTAAAATGTATTTATTTTTATCTTTTGATGAATACAAATTATGGAAAGAAATCGGGGATGAATTGGTTTTACATTTAAACATAAAACAAAGAATATTATAAATGTTTATCTCATATATATTAAAAACTTTAATTTCAAATAAAAGAGGCTTGGCATGAGTATAACGGTCTTTAAAATATATAAGACGTGCTACATTCTGCTGACAATAAAGAGGTTTAAGTTTGTTTTTATTTGCACTACCCCAAGCAATATTTGCATAGTTTATGTGGCAATGAATAAATGAGTGATATAATTGTACTAAAGTTTGTTTATTTAAGACATTTCTCGCTTTATACAATATTGAAATAACTGCCTTCTAGTTGGTATGTTTATAAGAGGAACTGCTCCATTTTCAAATAGGCCATTATAAAACCCATTAATGTTTTTTTTGACATGATACTCAAAGCAATATAAATTTCATATATATATATATATATATATATATATATATATATATATATATATATATATATATATATATATATATATATAAGTATATATATATATATATATATATATATATATATATATATATATATATATATATTAGTCTATATAATATATATATATATATATACATATAAATATATATATATATATATATATATATATATATATATATATATATATATATATATATATATATATTAGTCTATATAATATATATATATATATATATATATATATATTTATATATATATATATATATATATATATATATATATATATTAGTCTATATAATATATATATATATATATATATATATATATATATATATATATATATATATATATATATATATATATATATATATATATATATATATATATATATATATATACGGATGGTGTTTCCATAAGTTCTCCTTTAGCGCCCATCTTAGCTAATATTTTTGTCGGATTTCATGAACAAACATGGATCAATAACTTCTCCTTCACAGCACCATTATTTTATAAATGGTATGTGGATGATATAATTGTCATTTTTAATTCTAAATATGAAGCTCAAGAATTTTTCAAACACCTCAATAAACAAAATAAAAATTTGAAATTTACTATGGAAAAAGAACAAGATAACCAGAATACCTTTTTAGATGTACTTATTAAAAAATCTAATTTATTATTGACTTCAGTTTATCACGAAAAAACATATACAGGGTTTTTACAAAATATTTTAAGTTTTATTCCTTCTTGCTACAAATTTGGACTTGTTCGTTGTTTGATTGATCGTACATTTAAAATTAATAGTACTTGGGTTGGTTTTCATAATGATATTAAGAATCTATTATTACTTTTACAAAACAATAAATTTCCACAAATAATTATTGACTCTGAAATTAAATCCTATATTGATAAGAAAATGAACCCACCTGTTTCTAACATTGTTAATAGCTTAAATATAAAAGAGCCACTTCCTAAATTGCTTAAATCTCATGTTGTCTTTTTATTCTAGTTGCCAAATGTCTCTCCAGACATTTGGCAACTAGAATAAATAAGCACCTTAAAAGTGATAAACAATCTCATATATTTAAATACTTAAATTTATCTGTTAACTGCAAAAATCTGGCTAACTGTAATTCTTTTGAGATTTTGGATAATGCCCAAACCAAACACAAATTAAAGTTGTTATTTGCCCTTCTATGAACTAATTTTAAAAAAGATAATTGTGTTTTGGTTATGTCTAAGTTGATCACACTGTTTAATGTTAATAAGGGCAAAACCATTATTCTTAAGCTTGCTAAATACGGTCCTTATTTTGAAAACAACTTGTATCTTTTAATCGAGTACGAAAAGAGCCATTTAATGTTAGTGATTAGTCTAGCATGCATCCATAATAACAGTAGGTTTTTGTATATTGATATATATATATATATATATATTTATATATATATATATATATATATATATATATATATATATATATATATATATATATATATATATATATATATATATATATATATATATATATATATATATATATATATATATATATATATATGTATATAAATATATATATATGGTTTTTAGTTTGTTTCATTCATATAGCACTTGTATATATAGTATAATATAAACATTTTATTTGATTTTTTTCTCAAGTGCATCCCAACCCTCAATCAGACCTTCATGTTTAGCCCATTCCATATATTTAATTTTCGTTTGAGTAACTAAATAATTTTAAAACCCCATAAAACCTAGCAAGTAAGAGAAAAATTATCAAAAATAACAACGTGTTTTAGGTAAAAAGAAACATAAAAACTAACGCATTGCAAAGTCAACTAATTATAATTTGCCTCAAGTTAAGTCAGGAATTTGCCTCAACTAGATTCAGGAATATTTTCAATAATAGCTGGAAATTGTGATCGTTGTACACCACTATTCAAAAATTCATTTGAATTATCATTTTTCTTTTGACAATCAAAGATATTGATAATCAATAAAATAATTTAAAAAATGAACCACTGCCATCCAAAGAAATTCTTATAAGTGTCTAAAACATGTAATTTTAACAAAATCTGATTGATTTTTAACATATACAATGTCTCTTAAAGTTACATGGCCTATACTGTCAACAAACTCATATATTTGTAGATAGTAGTAATTAGAAATATAATCTTCTAATTCAGAAAGACGACCAAAAACATTAGGCCATACGGAATGTTTACTTGCTAAAACTTTGCGTAGAGCAGTAACCACCTCTTTTGTTTTCCTATTTGACAGCTTTAGCACAACCTGTAATTGCATTGCTTAATTTTTTAAAGAGAAAGGATAGAACTTCTTTTTGCTTTATCTTCTGATGTGCTAATTATGAGTTTAAGAAGATTTTCTCTTGTAGATAAACACAAAGTAGATAAACACAAAGACTCTTGTAGATAAACACAAAGTATGTCAAAAAAACAAAACACAAAAGATATGTCAATCAAATTTTTTACAGCTGTTTTACTTTTTATGATTCCACATGCAACTAAAATATAATTTGCATAAACTATTAAGGATTTAATACTTTACATTAAGAATTTGGTTTGAGTGCCACGACATTAAACATAGCGGTTTCTGTGGTTCACAGTGAATTATCAAAGGAAGTTGTATAAAAACTGAATTGAATAAAACTAATTTGAAGTTACTTCCAGATTTAGTGAAAAAAATTAACAATTGTTGCAGAATGGCCGCAAAAGGTTGGATTGGTATGCAAACTAATTGATGCAACCAATTTAGCGAATGTGGTTCCTTTCCGTCTCACAAGTTTGCTGTTATTAACGTCTGAAATTTCAACTACAAATGACTCCTTTGAAAACTACCTTACAGATCTAAATAGCAAACTAATTTTCAATGGACTAAGCTATGAAGAACTTGAAAATGCAAAAAACTCTTTAAAAATTAACAAAGCACCAGGAATTGATGAAATTTGTAGCAATGTAGTAATAAATATCTTTCCGATAATAAAAAAACCCCTCTTCGAAATATTTAAATCTTCAATTATAACAGGAACCGTTCCAGAGAAATTAAAAATTGCAAAAATTGTACCTATATATAAAACTGGAGAACCATACTTACTAAACAACTATAGACCAATCTCAATCCTTCCTGTATTCTCAAAACTTCTCAAACGAATAATTTATAATAAACTGTACATATATTTAACAAACAATAACATCTTAAATAAAAAACAGTTTGCATTTCAAAAACAACATGCAACCGAACATGCAATCATAAATCTTGTAAATAGCATCAACTACTCATTTGATAATAATGAATTTGTTCTAGGAGTCTTTATAGATCTATCAAAAGCATTTGATACTGTTGATCATGAAATCCTGCTCAAAAAAATGGAAAAATATGGCGTAAAAAATGTTGCATTGCTCTGGT